TTGGCCTATATAACCTCTGTAGAATGTGTAAAATGTGCAGAATGATGCAGAGTCGTTGGAGCGCTCGCTGCCCATGTATCGCCAACATTACATTTGCTTCTTGCGCCAAAAATTTCAGAAGGATATTTCCCCCACATCCCATGACAATGACGATGAAAGTTTCACATTGCATATTCAGATTTTGCGTCACAATATCTCCGCTCATAGAGCTGCACGTAGAGAAAGAATAAAAACGCTTTTATTATATATTTTGGGTGGAAGCTGTTGATTGAGCCTATTTAAAACTTGATCGATTCTGCCCTTATTGAGATCCGACAATCGTCCGGAAAACTCGACAGCTCGCGTAAAGACACACGGCCGATCTCGCGCTTCGATATCGCTTGCTTATAATGTGAACTACTACCGTGTTTCCTGATTATTTAATTAATATTCATATAAAACGTAACAGCTATTATTAGACATATGATTTTTGTAATAAATGTTGTATAATGAATATGATCTTTCTTGAGACAAAAAACATAAACTTGATATTATATTTCCAATAATAATTGACGCCATAGATACTATCATCTTACCGCGGTGATTTGTAATAGCATCACATCAAATCACCTCATATTTACATCACGGTCTTGAACATATCTGACAAAACTGACACGGCACAATGGGGGACCGGTGCGGGACTGGCGGACACCTCATAAGTCTGGTATTACATCTGTCATACGACGAATTTTTCAAGCCTGTGTATTGTTATTAGAGTGTTCCAAGAACTAATCTCTCTGTCCCTCAACCATTTAACAGGTTTGAAAAATTTGTCGTACGGCAAATGTAATACCAGCCTAAAAAACGAACAAACGTGGGAACGATTTATAAAAGTTCATTTGCTTTTCTTTGTTGCTTTCTGTCGTTTGCGTTCTATTTACGACTGTATTCAGCAAAGCAGTTCAATGATCACTCAGTGCTTCTTTATGATTCTTATAATCCTTAATTTTTACAATTAACAGGAAATCTAATTTTAAATATATTCATAGCCTGTTCTTATTTTAAGATCGTCTTAAGTAATGTCTTAAGTTACTAATGTAATAATTGGTTTATGACATCTTAGAGCTATACATAAGATAGTTTTTAATATAATAACTGATTTTTTCGAATTCTTTCGCGGCAAAATGGTTCCAATATATTCACAAGAAAATAATTCCTGTAAAATTTCAGCTCGCTCGGACTACGGGAACCCGTGCTGACAGCTGGTTAAACATTTGAGTTCCCTTATACTACACTATCAACATTGGTTTTTAAAGCGCATTTTCCACAAACATCAGCCTAGAGAACTTCCCTTTTTTTTAACATGTGTTGTTAAAATCCTTGCTTTTCTGTATCGTTTGAGGCTTCATTTAATTAGGTAAATTGTTAATGATTAAGAAATAAAAATGAATAGATTAAGTCCGGTATATATACCGCTGGATATTTCTTTTCTAACATTTAATTTTTCTTTTTAGGGCACCACCTAAAATTTATACAATATAGGTAAATAAAATACTCGTAAAATTTTAGATTAATAGAATAAGAATGATACCGACAAATGAAATTCTGTTTGAAAAATATACTTTTTTAAAATTCCTTCATTGATTATTTTTCATACTTATATGTTATAAATTACAACGATAACTAATACAAAAATATGTTAACTTAACTGTAAAATTAATTTTCTAATTGCAATAGTTTCATATAATGACACAGCTGAATAACGCTAATTACGTTACACGGGGAATAAAGCTAATTATTGATTACAGCACTATTATAACAAAGGATGAATATCAAAAATAATTTTTAAGTTGTTAGCGACTATCGCAAAAAGTTTCTGGATACTAAAAAAGGAATCCTTTTGAAACCATTGCAATTAGAAAATTAATTTTACAGCTAAGTTAACATATTTTTATATTAGTTATCGTTATAATTAATAATATATAAATTATGAAAAACAATGAATGAAGGAATTTTAAAAAAGTATATTTTTTCAGACAGAATTTGTTAATCGGCACCATTCTTATTCAATTAATTTAAAACTTTAAGTATTATTTATCTATCAATTCAAAATGTAATCTCGATACGGATTCTCCAAATCCAAAACCAATAGGAGAATCCAACAGGGCGAATGAGAGTACGGCGTAGTAATTAGTATGTAAAATAATAAAGTAAGAATACTTGTTATTTTTTTATTTTAATAATCCAAAAATCCCCAAATTGTACGTTTCGACTCTCTTTGGAGTCTTTCTCAGCAATTACAAAACATAATATGTCCCTCCTTTGTAAATCTAATTTGATCATAAATCACCAATAAATTTACAGATTTATTGTTGCAAAAATCTGTTAACATTAAATTGTCCATAAATTGACTAAAAATTTTAAAAAACAAATAAGAAAAAGAAGGTAACAACATACAAAGAAACCGTCATAAAAACTTTAGATTAAATTAAAAAATATATGAAATTAAGCATCGTTACAGAAATAAATTAATTAAATAACAGTTCTTACAGGTAACATCCTTACAATAAAGTTAAAAATATAACTAATAAATTTCAATCCTACGTAACGTGTTGGTCCACCAGGTAAATATTAAAAAAAGGGGAAATAAGTCAAAAATAAAAACAATTAAGTCGCATTATACAAATTGAAAAATAAAAATTATTATACATTCTTCAAAATCTATAAATAAGTGTAGTAAACCTTTAGTATCCGATTATAAATTAAGACCTTTTCTTAAACTTACTTTCTTAAACTTAAATTCTTTTGCATATGAATGTAAAGACATTCAGATATTAACTTGGATATTAACCGTTTATTCAAAAAATGCTCAACATTAAGTACTTTTTTCGACATTCTCCCAATCAAAATCATTCGTAATTAATTCTATGCTCCGTAATCAACGAATGATTATTAGTATTCTAATTTATGTAATTTCGGTGCTCTGAAACTTTAGTTTTCAGTTTCCTTTCAATCTGCTCTACAAATACAATGCGTCACAGGCCTTGCTTGAAATTTTATAGACAACATTTTTCTTTACATCTCTTAGGAAAATGTCTTTTTGCACCCTAATAAACCTGCCCCAAATTAACCAATTTTGTATTATTATAAAATATTTATTGATTATTTATCTATACTTATATATATTGCATTGGAACAAGTTTAGGTAATGCCCTGAAAAGAAAAATCAAATGACAGAAAAGAAGGGCTACCCAGCAGCGTATATATCGAAGTTAACTATTTATTTTTATTTTTTAATTATTAACAATTCACCTAATTATTTAAATGAGACGTATAAGGTCTCAAATGATGCAGAAAAGTAAGGCACACATGTTAAAAAAAAGAAAAGTACTCTAGACCGATTTTTATAAAAAAATACACTTTGAAAATCAATGTTAATAATGTAATATAGTGTAAAGGGAGTTTAAATATTTAACGAGCTGTCGGCACGGGTTCCCGTTGTCCAATCGAGCTGAAATCTGACAGAAACTATTTTTTTATGGATTGGAATCATTTTAAAGGGCGTAGCGGAAAAAATTTGAAAGTCGAAAAAAATAGACTAATCTAATGTATTACTTACCTAATGTAGTACTTACTTTCAAAATATTAGGAATTTAACAAAAATTTTACAGATTGTTCTATTATTACGTTTCAGTATCTATGTAAAATTTAAACACAATTCTATTATTAATTTACAAGTTGTTTAAGTTCTTTATATGTCTTGATTCCTATGTAAAATCACGTTTTATAATACCTATAATTTGCAAATTTGATAAGGAAGTAATATTAAAAAATAATTAATATTTTATGCAAACATTAACAAAACAATCATAAATATTCGTGCAAAATTTTTTTTAGATTTACTTACTCGTTACAAATTATTGAACTAAAATTGCAGCAAAATATAATATGATTATTTTGCTGCATAAACCATTGCAAATCAAATTATTTTTTGTTTCATTTTTGCAGTTGGTTTCAGAGATTTTCAGATCATTTTTTTTAATGTTATTGGCTAATATTAATTATTTTTAGCTGATTATTTGATTGATACTTTTAGCTAATGTTGTATAGATAAAACCTTAAGAATATAATTGGTTTTTTGTTTTTAGATTAATCATTTGATCGGGAAGCTATCAAAATGATAAATCCATTTTTCTTTCAAAAGTAAGAACTTTTGAAATAATAAGAATAGAAATAACATCATGTTACAAAATGATTTACAAAATTAGATTACAAAACCAAAAAGAAACATTTTTTTATAATTTATCACGGAGTTTAAATCAAAATAACTTTAACCAAATATAAAATACATAAAATTAATAAAGTATAGTATATCATTTTGATATATGCAACTCACAATTCAGAGAAGTGTTTAATAAGTTTTATTACAATTATAAAACATATACTGAAATAAAAGTCAAATAGAACATATATAATATATTATTTATTTGTATTATAGAATTATTTATATTTTTAATTTTCACATATTCCGTATATGGCAGCAATATTAAAGTAAGAAAGAGTGGGATGGAGGCGTTCACACTTAAGAAAATTTATTAGTATTTTTATTTTAAATTGGTTTTCTCTCCGTTGAATGTATTATATCTTTTGTAATGATTTGCATATGTATAATTTCGATACTAGGACGAATACCGCTATTAACAATCTATTATCTTGCGTTGATCATCTAACATGATAGACTTTTGTCTATTGAATCTTATAGTGATAAACAGCGAATTCGATTTCGGAAGAATTAGTGCGCATATTAAAGCCGTTGTACACTAACTTAATTTGAGTATAAAAATGAAATGCAAATATTTCGAATTATGAAATACATATTTTATCTAATAGTATAATAAAATGTATTAAGTATTTCACGATTTAATCGATTTCTATGTTTATTTATAAACATATCTTTACGTTATTTTGTGTACGACAGTAGTGCGCACTGAGTGCATCCAATCGAATTCACTAAAAGATACCTTGAACTCGGTCAGCCAATACATCCCCCAGAAGATCTCTGATCAAGAAAGATTTATGCTCCTGCATCATCGCCATGAACAAAACAGTGCACTCGTAACGCTCACAATAGTCGATTGTTATCGAAATTATATTTCTCTCTGACGAAACAATAATAATGAACGGCTACAATTTATCACGAATCGTGTGAACACATTCGCACTAACGTAAAATCCGTAATTTTCATGTTATCGTACGGACGCTCAGTGTCGTTCTGCATCGTCGACCACCACTGCGGCTGATCGGAAACTTGATCCCCGATACCATCGTCATCCTTACCGTCGTCGTCAACTATCGCGGGGGAGGAAGAAGCGTACCGAGGTAAAAAGTTAATACGCGGTCGAAAGGGAGGGTGTACGCGCTCGCGTACCCTTCGTACCTCTCCCCCTCGAATTAATCCGCCCGTTTATTTTGAACGGGATGCCTAATGCCCGCGCAATTTCGCAGCCATTTTGGGGGTGGAAACGCCATGCTCACTCCACCACGAAACCGGCACGCCTCCCTGATTGGTTCTCCGAGACCGGAATATGGGGGTAAAGAAGCGAGTTTCTGACGTTGCTATTGGTCGGGAGATTCTACAGCCAGTCCTTCCCATACTCGCAATTCGGTGTCTCGGTGCACGTTTCAATTTAAGTGGATCCGGTAAAGATGCAAGGGGCGGTGGAAGTTGCTGAGATGGAAGCTGGAAAGGAACACAGGAAAAGAGAAGGAAGTAAATACAGACGGTAGGGAGAGGAGGAAGTCATTGGCGAGCGATTACTGCGAAACGGGAGGAACAAATTGAATGTGAAACTTTTCCACAAGCGTATGATATATATAGCTGGTTTCTATGATTTCAGTGCTTGAAAGGCGGATGCTTGCTGAGTTTCCGCTGCTGTCGGTCCTGGTCGTCTCATGGTTCGCGCTTGTTGACTTCATTACGAAAAATTCCGAGAGGACGCGGGACTCCAAGGCACAATAAGTTCTAATAATGTTCAATCATAGAAACCTCGCTTATTTAATACGGACTCTAAAGTGCATACATCACAAGAAAATAAATTTTATTTTTTACAATATTTTTCGAATACAATATGCAATGGGGCAATTAGATGTTTATATATAAAATATTTTATCACCGATATATGTATAACGCATAGCAAATTTTAAAATTAAAAAATATGCCTGGAAAAATATTGCCGTACATAAATTGCAATTTTTTTTATTTACAAATATTTCAATCGTGGAATGCAACAGCCACAAATTCGCTTCGTTTTTCAATAAATCATCCACTATAGTTACGGTGACCATATGTCCTTTATTTTAGATAGCTTTCCTTTAGATTTATTTGTTTTTTCAAAACTGTCCTTTATTTTTCAATATTGTTTTTTTATTGTCCTTTATTTTGACACGGGAAATTATTTTCTAATTAGCGTTCCAATGTCTAATATTATATTAATGAGCAAATTTTTACAGAAAATATTTTACAGTTTCATGCATATAAATACAATTTGTTTTTGTTAATCACATTTCTTAATTTTTTAAATTATTTATTCAAACTAAAGTTGTTTCCATTTTTTATTATTTCGAACCTTTTATTATTTTAGATCAAAGGTTTGTTCCAATACAGTCGAATCAGTTTCAAACTATCAAAAAAGTGTGCATTATCTCTATTTAATTATACTTTGCAATAAAATTTTATAATGCACAGAATTCTTGACAGTCACAAACTGATTTGAAAATATGTAGGAACAAAGCCCTAAAATTTTCAGATTTGTCCTTTGTTTTCTTTAAAAAAAATATGGTCACCCCGTAATTATAATGAGATTCCGTACTTTAAATAAATTAAACAAATTTGTTAAGGCACATAAAAATAAAAACGATCTAGAATACAACAGTCATGTTATTTACAAAATCAACTGTAAAGATTGCAATGCCTCCTACGTAGGTTAAACGAAGAGACAATTAAAGACCAGGATTAAAGAGTACAGGAATAATTTGAGACTAGATCCATCAAGATGCTCGGTGATTTCTGAACATATGTTAACACTCATATACATATGTTCGATTGGGAGAACACAAACATTCTAGACTTTGAATATAGTTATCGCAAGAGGTTCATACTTAAAATGATCCATATATAAAAAAAAACAAAAAAATGAAATTAATTGCATGAAAGATATATATCGAGTTATTTGATGGTACATATTTTGATATCCTCAATGTGTTATCCAATAGATGTCGATAGTCTTTATTAATATACTTATGAACACATTTCTCAATTATGTATTTTTACTTATGATCGAATCTGAGCACAAGAATTGTCGTAACACTAACTTAGACTTAGTTATAGACGTAAGCAACGCACAAGCTTTGATGTATGACATGCGACTTATTGGAGTCTCTTGGAGACATGGCAATAAGTTATACGTCATAAGTGAAAGCTTGTGCGTTACTTACGTCTACAATTTAAGTCTAAGTAAATGTTACAACAATTTTTGTGCTCAGATTTGACCTATATACTGTGCCCGCGCTTATTTTCATTATTTATCCTTGAAAAATCTCGATAAGAGACCAAAAAGCTACAGATGAAACAATGTTTTACACTTTTCAGTATTAATAATTTTCTGTAAGTTTTTCCGAGTCTTTTATTTATAGTTACAATTCATTTTTAATTATTATTTGAATTTCATTATATAGATTATATTTTTTTTATTAAAAATGAAATTTGGACATATATAACCGATTCTCGCTAGAAGACGACGAATCTATTAAAGAGCTTTATTTGTTGCAGACGATTAATTTTTCAAACAAATTTTTCTTTACTGTTAAAATAAACTAAAATACAAATAAATTGAACAAGACCACCGCATTTAAATGGGAAGTCTCGTCTTGACTGATTTTTGGCCTCTTTTTATATATATGAACTTCCTACGTTTATCATATAATATATAAATTCCGACGTTCATTGTATGTATATGGCGATAATTTAATTTTTGTAGTAACAAAGTTTAAAATTACTTTTAAGGGAGATTTTGAAAAAGACTATGAAGTCGAGACATCGTATATCGATTGTGTAAATTTAAAATATACTATTGTTTAATGGTTTTTATATGCATGTTTTTATATGCATTCGTTTCTTTAGTTGTTTATTAAATTTTATTATGCCCTACCTAGGAGCATCCGACTTTCCACGCGAAGCAAAATTCACCTGAAAAGTCGAACGCCCCTAAGTAGAGAGAGTGGTGGATCATCGCTTTCCGTGGAAAGTCACTACGCAATGTGAGAAGAATGTAGGATAGTTCTTAACGTTAAAGCAGAAATCAAATATTATTTTTAAACTTTTTTGTTAATGACTTTTTATGATAAGTATTCGACAAACATAATTGCCAGTATTGCATCAGTATATGGTTCATCAATGTTTAATTGCCAAGAGCAATGGATCAATATCAGATCATACTTCTGATTGGCAAGTGCTAGACCTGGGTAGCGACAGCAAAGTGGATGCAAGCTCTATTCTCGAATTTTTCGGCGAATGTAACGCGTGCCATTGCATAAAATGTGCTAACGTAATATGCATCAACAATGCGGAAACACGCTGGATGACGTCAATGACATGTTAACAGCTATAATATCAAGAACGAAAGATTCTTTGTTTCAAGAGAACCAAGATGTCGTACACGTTTCAGAATTCATTAGATTTAATGTATGCGGGAGATTAATTCAAGGAGCAGCAAAGCGGCCACGTGCTTTTTTCACGAGTGCGGAAAAAAAGCGTCAAGGAGAAAATGCCAGAATAAATGCATATCAGAAGGATCGTCTAGACCGCGAGAAACAAAGGACTTGTTGAAGTTCGTGTCGAAGTAATAGCGTCAATCGAGTAACACCGTCGTTGATAGTTACATCGATCGGAGACACGAGAAAGGTCAATAACTGTTAAAAATAAATAATTAAAGAAAGTTATTTCTTTTTTATAATGCATGTCTTATAAATATACATTTATTTATTTTAAACACTTAAATCTAATAGCTTTCACAATTTTTTTCACAACTTACCCGATTGTATAACTCACTCGCATATATATGCTGCAGAATACTTTCACGCTCGTTGAAATGTTTCTTATTTTTCTTATTCTAAATATTAAATTCATGTTTTTACTATCTATGTTATTATATTGAGATCTAACAGCGCCATGTGTTTTTTCTATATAAACAATTTTTCTATTTAAATTAAATTTTTTCAATAGGAGATAAATGCTTTATAACGGTCTAGCTAGAATTTCTAGTTAAATGTTTTCATTTTATATCATTACTTCTTTAATTCTTTATGGTAACACTTGTATTGAGTAAGGTAACGTAATTTTATGATATAATATTTTAGGGGAGATAATAACGTTTCGAAAGGGAATTAAATAATTATTATTTTGGTTGAAAGAGAAACTGTCTTTAAATGGATTGAACTATAATAATTTCTTTTAAGAAAAATATAAAGATTAAAATAGGAATACACTTCAATAGAAATACAAAGATACATACTTAGGTTTCAATGTATAAAAAATGAAAGATAATGCCACTTGGATTATATTCTTCATTTAATTTGGTATTGGGGATTTAATTTAGCTCCAGTTGTGGATATCAAATCTTTTATAAGAAGTTTATTAGAGTCAAGTAAATAATGAAGATAGAATCACTTGGGTTTTACTTTTTAATTTGACAGTTTTTAATTTTGTACCAGATTTCAGTAATTTTAAAATTCCTGAATGTTATCTATACATATAAAAATTTTAACTACATATTATAAAGTTTTAATAAGAACACTAAGTCAATTAAATGATCTAAAAAGATAATAATATTAATCGTTTGTAATTGATTAGTATTACTATTTTTTTAGTTTCTATAACTTATTTATTGTTCTTATTAAAACTTTGTAATACACAGTTGAGGCGTCTTCATAATTTCTAGTTACCGATATGACTTTTTTCTCTGACAATGAGTGTGTAGATATTTCTAGCGAATCCTATTCAATAAAGATAAACTGCAGAGGGTAAAATAGCTACAAAACGA